TGAACTACCAGAAGGCAACATTGCAGACATAGAGGACAGTTACAAGTACTTGGGGATCCCGCAGGCGAATGGGAACCATGAAGAGGCCACTAGAAAAGCTGCAACCACCAAGTACCTGCAGAGGGTCAGGCAAGTCCTGAGGAGTCAGCTGAATGGTAAGAACAAGATCCGGGCCATCAACACGTACGCCCTGCCCGTGATCAGGTAATAGGCTGGCCAAAGGAGGAGATAGAAGCCACTGACATAAAGACAAGAAAGCTCCTTACCATGCATGGAGGGTTTCACCCCAAATCCAGCACCCTGAGGCTGTACGCTAAGCGGAAGGAAGGGGGCCGGGGACTGGTGAGTGTCAGCACCACAGTCCAGGATGAGACAACGAACATCCAAGAATACATTGGGAAGATGGCCCCAACTGACCGAGTGCTCAGTGAATACCTCAGGCAGCAGAAACCCAAGAAAGAGGAGGGAGACGAGGAACCATCATGGAAGGACAGGCCCCTGCACGGTATGTACCACCGGCAGATAGAGGAGGTGGCTGATATCCAGAAATCCTACCAGTGGCTGGACAAAGCTGGACTGAAAGACAGCACAGAGGCACTAATCATGGCAGCACAAGAACAAGCTCTGAGCACAAGATCCATAGAGGCTGGGGTCTATCACACCAGGCAAGACCCCAGGTGCAGGCTGTGTAAAGATGCCCCAGAGACAATCCAGCACATAACAGCAGGGTGCAAGATGCTAGCAGGCAAGGCATACATGGAACGCCATAACCAAGTGGCCGGCATAGTGTACAGGAACATCTGTGCCGAGTACAATCTGGAAGTCCCGAGGTCAAAATGGGAGATGCCCCCAAGGGTGGTGGAGAATGACCGAGCTAAGATCCTGTGGGACTTCCAGATACAGACGGACAAAATGGTGGTGGCTAACCAACCGGACATAGTGGTGGTAGACAAACAGAAGAAGACGGCCGTAGTGATCAATGTAGCGGTTCCGAATGACAGCAATATCAGGAAGAAGGAACACGAGAAGCTGGAGAAATACCAAGGGCTCAGAGAAGAGCTCGAGAGGATGTGGAGGGTGAAGGTAACGGTGGTCCCCGTGGTAATCGGAGCACTAGGTGCGGTGACTCCCAAGCTAGGCGAGTGGCTCCAGCAGATCCCGGGAACAACATCGGAGATCTCTGTCCAGAAGAGCGCAGTCCTGGGAACAGCTAAGATACTGCGCAGGACCCTCAAGCTCCCAGGCCTCTGGTAGAGGACCCGAGCTTGAAGGATAAACCGCCCGCAGGGGCGTGCTGGGTGTTTTTATATATATATCTATATATATATATAGAATATAATATTATATCTTATATATATATATATAGAGAGAGATATCTATCTATCTAGATATCTAGATAGATAGATAGATAGATAGATAGATAGATAGATAGATAGATAGAGAGATAGAGAGATAGAGAGATAGATAGATAGATAGAGAGATAGAGAGATGCAGAAAGATATGGCAAAGTATAAAGTGCCCAGACAATTAGATGCACCAACAAAATATCAGATAAAGCTCCATCAGGCTTGTCTAATTCTACACATCACACACTATACGGAAGCTACAATTAGCACCTGCTGCTTGGAGTTTTCTTTCATGAACATAAACCGTAAAAAAATGATCCCTCCTTTCAATGGTTGGCTCACAGATACAAAGCAGAGATTCAAAGTTAAGTTCTTTTACAGGACATAAGGTATCTCATGTCTGATGTTCACTAAGATTACTGAAAAAATGTTTGACTGTGTTAACAGATGACAAAGGGAGAAGCTGAAGGTTGAAGAAGAGAAACAGCAAATGCAGATGTTGCCATGTAAAGAAATTCACGATGTGATCCATCTGTTAACATCCTGTCATGTTATGGTTCACCTTTCTGGCTCAATGACCGTATGCAAGTCTCTGCATTTTTGTATGTATGTGTACTTGATAGCTATGGTAATACAAGACTTTCAAATGAGGCACATCCAGAGAAGCCCAAAAAGACATCATCATTTCTGTCCATGAGCAAACACTCATCCACGGAGGTGACAAAATGAGTGCTTGACTCCAATGCATAAAGAGGTTTTATTACAAAACATCTTCATTTCTGAGCATAATTGAGGGCTTGCAACGTAATGATAAGCTGTTATTAAAGTCCTTAAATTCCCAGATTTATTACAGCACGCTGGGTTAGCCAGTGCTTTCTTGGAAGAATATTAATTGTGCTTCGAGTGCTCAGGAGAGACTGGGCACTCGGGAGTGAGCTCACTGTCACTGTTACTGTTACTGGAAGGGAAAAGGCTGTTTGGATGCTGTTGTTTTGACACGAGTGCAGGAAAAACTAAGCAAAGAAGAAAGAAAGATCGTCTTTCTTTGGACAGCAGTCATCCACGAGCTGCTACAAATCTGTGTTTGTGTGTGTGTGCGCAAGTTTGTGTGGGCAATCACATGAGCAGCTGTCAGTGTGCATGTCTGAGGGGTGTATGTGGCTGTTAGGGCTGTGTTGTGACACATGTAAGGCAGGCTACAAATTGCCTGTCAAAGAAAGCGCCTCCCACAAAGCGGATGGGGGAGTGACTCATTTTGTGAAGATGTGGATTATTATTAAGTGTGTGTGTGTGTGTGTGTGTGTGTGTGTGTGTGTGTGTGTGTGTGTGTGTGTGTGTGCATGAGTGAGTGAGTGAGACACAGACAGGTACTATGTGTGTAATTGTCAGAGCTAAGTCAAAAGTGTGTAAAGACAGATATTCTGATTAGCCATCTGTTCTTCGGAGCCTCATCCGCATCAGTGTACTCTGAAATGCACAAGTGGGTCTGTACATAAGTTTAATTAAGATGCTGGATGAAAGCAGACTTCTGCATCACTGTAAAACATGTGCTATCCTGCTTTTTTCATGCCTTTGGATGACGGATTGCTACTGAGAAATGAGACCTTCCACGACCCTTTTGGTTTCCTTCAGCAGCCTATGGAGGATTTCTATGTAAATGAGGATTTCTATGTCATGTCCTGAACTCTATGAACAAGTGCCTTTCTCAGTGAGTAACACTAGCTAGAAAATTCAAGTTAACAAACTGTTCAACGAATGACTGGCTCCCAAGAACTTCACATAGAGAATAAGAAGGAGAAACTTTCTGCTTCAGCTCTGCTAATTCCTCCGAACTCCTGGGCCTGGTCTGGCAATTTTCAGATTAGTCTATTAATAATAGAGTAGCTCAGTTACCACTATATGGCTAACTTTATCCTGCTTGCTAATCTCATTGCTTATTAAATGATATGTGTAGAGTGACAAGTGATACTGATTTTGGCCAATAATAAGTAACTGTTGCTTTGTACTGAAACAGACTAATTTTGCAGCATGTATCATTGGTCAACTTTAGTTTCAACATGCTGATATTGAGGCAGAAACACTGATCTTTCAGCTAGTGTACAAGATTCATAATGTCTCTATGGCAACTGACATACAGATGTTTACTTCAAATACAAAGTAACATTTATTTTTCCGTGTATTAGCTAAATTTACACAGGTAACTCAAATGTAACATTTGCACATTGTTATGCTTATTACACTTACAATTTAACGGTCACCAGAGGGGTTACATTTTAAGAATTGACATTATTTCCTATCTCGTGCACCTTTATCATTCTACACCATTAACTGAGGGTCAAAGATGGTCATAACAAATGCCAGAGAGAGGAAATTCCTATATTTCCACTTAAAAACCCCTATTGTTGATATTAATGTAAGGGTTAACGTGCCTGACCTGTAACAAAATGTTCAAAACTGTTCTCTTTCTTCTTTTTGTGTCGTTTTAAACACTGCTCACAATCATATGTAGCAGTAATTAAGCTATTTAGGTTTATGATTTATATTTAGATCAACACTTTTCAATAAAAGAAAATATATTTGTCACCATCCGTGTAGAGTTGACGATGACATGAGCCGCATGGGGCCGTTGCCACTCCGTCTTTATTCTGAGTTACACCTTCCTATTGCATTTCTAATGGTGCCAATAATTTAATATGTTATCTTTCAAATTCTCAACTTCGGCTAACCTTCTGGACGTGGATGTCATTAATAACAATGATGTCCTGGAAGTTATGGAGAGCCTCTTTAAATACAACTAAAACCAAACACATCCAGACTCTTTCCTCTCTTGCTCTTTGCTGCACTTAAACCTCCACAGCCTGTCTTTAGACTTGGCTTCAGGCCCAAACATTTTAGCCCTTAGATTGGTGGAGGAAAGGTGTAGGAACTTGAAAATATCCATCTGCTACAGATCGCTGATTGAAAAGAAGTCTTTAAGACACACCAAGTCGACTTCAAACCCTCTCTTCGATTTACTTGAGAGTGGACATTTTTCTCAGGTTCTCCTTTGGGCGGCAACAAACTGATTGGAAACTATTAGGAGACAAGGGTCCATTTTGGGATCTTATTGTTAGAGGCTGACAAGCTTTTTTCTGCCCAGCGGAGCCAAGTTTTATGCCTCTCTCTACAAAGGATCCTGAAAAAAAGGAAAGGCTTTGAAAGATAGCTGACAAAAGCCCGCTGTCCTCTCCGACTCTCCCTCATCATGTCTCTCATTCCCACCTCTTTACCCCTGACAGAAAAACATGTTCACTATCTACTTGGAGGAAAACAGCAATCAAAACCAACTTATTCTTTGCTTCCTTTCTCAAACAAGGTGCTCACAGACAAGAGACATCTGTTTACTATGATGTAGTCTTTTTTTATGGTGTAAATGAGACAAATACTCTTCTCTCTCATTGCAGAGTTCACTTGTGTTAACACAAAGTATCTTAAGCATAAAATAATCCAAAACAGAATTCTAGTGCAAAAAAGTAAAATATATACACTGTATGAACTTGCACACCTTTACCAAATTATTCCCCATAAGCAGTAGTAGCAGTATAAATGGCTGTATATTACAATCTCACTATGTCAAATATTAGCCAAGGACTCCTTTGTAAAAGCAACCCTCACCTGACTCGGGGGCCATCACGCAGCGGTTCCCGGTGGGTGCGCCCACGGTTGGCCCCTGGCAGGGTGCGTCGGTTGGCAGTGGAGTAATCAGCCTCCAGCTCATATGGCTCTTCTTCTTCGGGGCCCAAGCTGCGGCGATCATCCTCCAGACCATACGGCTCAGGCTGGAAGCGTTCTGGTTGTGAGCGGTTCAGATCCACAGTGCTGCTGCCCATAGGCACCTGGGGCTGCGCCACATGGCCATAATCATCCTTTCTGATAGGCAGGGTGTAGCTATTCTCCGGCCGGTAGCTATTAGGCATGTATGGGTACCGCGGCGGCCGGTAGTTGACACCACGAGAAAGACTGCCGTAGTTATCCGTCAAATCGGTGTAGCCATCGTGAAGACCATAATGGCGAATGTACTGGCTCTCCGGTGTCTCTCCGTATGAATCGTTGTAGGAGTTGTTGTAGGAGCGCGTCAGGGTTGAGGTTGCTTGAGGCGTTATGAAGCGGTCACTTCCATTCTTCAGGTATCGCCGGTCAATGGAATCGGTGTAGCTGCCCAGCGGGGACGTGCCTTCAGGCAGCGGCAAGCCATCGGGGCCGAGGGGCACCTGACGCACTGTCCGAGTGGTCACCGTCTTCACCATCTTAGTCACCTGCATGGGGAAACAGATACACACTGTCAGACAGCGTAGAACAATGTTACACCAAACCTATGCTTAGGTTTAAATACAGTGGTCAGCTTTAAGCTGACAACACACATAATAAATGTGAGCACTTGGAAATGTTAAGGTTTAACTCAATCTTTAAACCCTTATGCCAACGAGGCATAGTACTAACTGACCAATCTTCAATTTTCAGCCTGTGTAACACGTTGGTTGTTAGAAAAAAAAGCAGGCAGTACATCCGATCTGCTTTAAGACAAACGCTCCAAATTTAAACCCCAGATGCTGTGTGTACACAGGAAGTGCAAATTCAGGCTGAATAGTGCTGCAACTGAGCCTGATGGAAGTTGTATAGCTCCACTGGACCTTGAGTCCCGAATGGCTCCAGATGAGCAATGTAGCATCACAGTCCATAGCTGAGGGACTGTTAAAGCCAGACCTGCGTGCACGCATTTCTCAAATTCGCATCATCCTTGAGCTAAATAACTCTGCTTCCTCTGCTGTCTCTGTGGTTTTCTGGCTGGAGAATGACAGACAGCGACTCCCTCCTTGGGCTCTCTGCCCATATAGAAAGCAATTTGCTGCCCACTGAATTCTGCTGTGGCTGATAATTGGCTATTTTGTCCGTGGCTATAAATTCATCTTTAAAATTAATGAAGCTGATGAAAATTAACCGTCATCTGCAAGGGGCGCAGGTCTGATGTAGTTCACGTCGTGCCTTACAAGGTGTTGCAGAGAGTTTTGTTCCCTTAAAAACTTAAAATCTAAGGAAAAAGACAAAAAAAGACCCTGCTCATTCCTGATTCCGATGGGCTTCATTTTCAGTACCGGCCCTGTTAATCTGAAAACGCCGTCTTTATTTTCCCATCAATGCCATGATTCTGATTTTAATCAGGAGCAGAGGCACGTAATAATATCATGGAACCACAATGAAGCATTAAACCGCACCACAAAGGACGGCGCCAGGAGCAAACGCATAAACCACATATCAGTTGTTAAACACGGCATCCTCATTAACTTGCTTGAAACAAATAGAAATTTTCACTGGCCTTGTTTCTTGGTTACACTCTCACTGTGAGCTACATAAGACAGCCTATTTCAGGAACGTCAAGGTTCATTTCCATGTTTTAAGCACAGTAATTACTGAATAGTTTGCATTTGTTTCTAACTGCACAAAGCTGAGGTGGAGTGGCATAGTTAAAAAAAAAACCCAAAGAGCTCATTTGCTTGAGTTACATCAGCTAAAGGATGTGCATGACCTTAGAATCACAATAATGAGCTTGCTTTCATCTTGTTCACTGTGGCAGGTCATAGCAGGACCTCAAGTCTAGACTGCTCTGGTGCTACTTGCTGGGCTTCGGTGACCCAACAAGAGCTAGAGGCTGAATGTCATACCGTGCATGAGGTGGCTACATGTGCACAATAAATAAATAAACATTTCTAGTATTTTTTAATCACATTTGGTTAATATTTGGTGCTATTTTATTCTGACAGAAACTGAGACGAGGGTACGTTGAATGCTACAGCTTCCCAGCCTCGACACGCCCGGCTGCCTTGTACTAACACAGCTTTTTAGGCAATTTGCAAGGGCTGCAAAGGGAGCTATCGGATAGGTTTCAAACGCTCTTTGATGTGCGCTCAAGTTCACAAGGCGTTAAAACCGTCACGCACGGGTAGACGAGGGACCAGGGTTTCAGAAGAGCCTCTGAAATATGCTCAAGTGGTGTAAACAGGCTCAAAAGAGAATTGCTAAATTGGTTGCAAATATATATGAATATGTAGCAATACTCAAGATTTCTGTGTTTGTACATGCTTGGAAAGTGACAGCAGTACTGAAAAATGTTTAACAAAAAAACAAAGCAAACAAAAAAACCCACAGGCAGTTAAGACACAGTCCTAGACGGTTTATCAAACTGTTAAAACAGAGGGGAAAGTAGCAGGCGGCAAACTGTCCACTTTACAGCACTGCAAGACATTTCACAACCTCTGTGGCATTCACTTTATCGGGCACTTAAATTGACAAGGTGGCCATGGGCTAGTGAGGCAAAACTGAGGGAGTGATCAGATTTTTGAGCAGCTTGTGATTGCAAAACCTTCGATTAGTTTTCATCTTCTCTTAAAGAGAATGAGGAAAATTAAAACTGTTATTATATCTTGGGAAAATTCAGGCAGGCGGGGGGAGGCAAGAAACAACACAAATCACACAGGTTCGGCGTCCTTTACTGGGTCTGTCTCAGATAGGGTGGGGGTCGAGTTGGTGACCGGGGTGGGGGTGCGTGTGGCAGGCCTGGACTCCACTAACAAGTTGTCAGATACCAACAATGGATGGTAGGTGCGACGGGTGATGGTTTTCACCACTTTGGTGACCTGAAGTTGAAGGGATTCGTGGGAAAATTTGTTTCATTACACACTGATCCATACAGTTCTGATTCACATAGTCTGAGTGTAACAAGCAACGGTGTGCAAAAGAGAAACAGCTTAGGAATAACAAAATGATCTAATAAACAGATACACTGCTATTTTAATGAGCTGGAATCACCACTAAACCACAGATGTGTAAGAGAAGTCTCCTCCAGTGCCAGTGGGACCTTAGAAGAGGGGTCAAATATTTGTGAAGGAGTAAAGCTCTTCCCATAATTCAGATATTTAGCTACTATGTGTTTTCCGTCATGAGACTGTGATATTCTTTCTTTTAACTGTTTGAAACCCAAAATGGCCACAGCTGGCCGGTCAGAGTGTTTCTATTTTTTGGATCAAAAATTTTTTTGTACACACTATATGTTAATAACATCAACACCTAGCAATAAATCCGTCAGATGACTGTTCATGTTATAATGTCGGGTGTGGAGCATCCACAGCTATTCAGTCTGGAGGAGGCTGTAAAGCTTTGTGAAAGGAGGCTGAAACAGGTCGATGAGCCAATGAAGCTCACTTCTGATGGATGACAGCGACACCAACATTTTTAAGGATTTCAACTTTTCTGTTGGCCTGAGTGACTGAAGCTTTCTTTGAGGTGGAGCTATCATTGCTGGAGTCAAACATTAGCATAATGTTAGCTTATAACCAGCGGTTCTTGTTGTTGTTTAGCTGGCTCTTGGTAACTGTCGAAGATGGGAGGGTAGCAATTCTGATCTGCTGACAGTAACTGGGACAAAATTGAGAATGAAAAGGCGTGTTTATGCCTATTTTAGTGTGTTAGAGCTCTGATTTCAGTTTAGTGCATGAGGCTTGAGATGAGCTGGAAAAGGACGAGGTAGAAATGTGGAAGGGGAAAGGAGTGGTGGAGGTGCCAGATCAGGAATCAGATCAGGAATCTGGAAGATTCTAATAGGATACTATATAGGTAAAGACCCTACAATAATACACAGAAAACAGATATATGTATATATATAAAAAAACCTCATCTTAAGTGCGTCATGGTTCCATATACAGTGGGGCAAAAAAGTATTTAGTCAGCCACCGATTGTGCAAGTTCCCCCACTTAAAATGATGACAGAGGTCAGTAATTTGCACCAGAGGTACACTTCAACTGTGAGAGACAGAATGTGAAAAAAAAATCCATGAATTCACATGGTAGGATTTGTAAAGAATTTATTCGTAAATTAGGGTGGAAAATAAGTATTTGGTCACCTCAAACAAGGAAAATCTCCGGCTCTCACAGACCTGTAACGTCTTCTGTAAGAAGCTTTTCTGTCCCCCACTCGTTACCTGTATGAATGGCACCTGTTTGAACTCATCATCTGTATAAAAGACACCTGTCCACAGCCTCAAACAGTCAGACTCCAAACTCCGCCATGGCCAAGACCAAAGAGCTTTCGAAGGACACCAGGAAAAGTATTGTAGACCTGCACCAGACTGGGAAGAGTGAATCTACAATAGGCAAGCAGCTTGGTGTGAAAAAATCAACTGTGGGAGCAATCATCAGAAAATGGAAGATGTACAAGACCACTGATAATCTCCCTCGATCTGGGGCTCCACGCAAGATCTCATCCCGTGGGGTCAAAATGATCATGAGAACGGTGAGCAAAGATCCCAGAACCACACGGGGCGACCTGGTGAATGACCTGCAGAGAGCTGGGACCAAAGTAACAAAGGTCACCATCAGTAACACACTACAACGGCAGGGAATCAAATCCCGCAGTGCCAGACGTGTTCCGCTGCTGAAGCCAGTGCATGTCCAGGCCCGTCTGAAGTTTGCCAGAGAGCACATGGATGATACAGCAGAGGATTGGGAGAATGTCATGTGGTCAGATGAAACCAAAGTAGAACTTTTTGGTATAAACTCAACTCGTCGTGTTTGGAGGAAGAAGAATAGTGAGTTGCATCCCAAGAACACCATACCTACTGTGAAGCATGGGGGTGGAAACATCATGCTATGGGGCTGTTTTTCTGCCAAGGGGACAGGACGACTGATCCGTGTTAAGGACAGAATGAATGGGGCCATGTATCGTGAGATTTTGAGCCAAAACCTCCTTCCATCAGTGAGAACTTTGAAGATGAAACGAGGCTGGGTCTTCCAACATGACAATGATCCAAAACACACCGCCCGGGCAACAAAGGAGTGGCTCCGTAAGAAGCATTTGAAAGTCCTGGAGTGGCCTAGCCAGTCTCCAGACCTCAACCCCATAGAAATCTGTGGCGGAGTTGAAAGTCCGTGTTGCTCGGCGACAGCCCCAAAACATCACTGCTCTCGAGAAGATCTGCATGGAGGAATGGGCCAAAATACCAGCTACTGTGTGTGCAAACCTGGTAAAGACCTATAGTAAACGTTTGACCTCTGTTATTGCCAACAAAGGTTATGTTACAAAGTATTGAGTTGTATTTTTGTTATTGACCAAATACTTATTTTCCACCCTGATTTACGAATAAACTCTTTACAAATCCTACCATGTGGATTCATGGATTTTTTTTTCACATTCTGTCTCTCACAGTTGAAGTGTACCTCTGGTGCAAATTACTGACCTCTGTCATCATTTTAGGTGGGGGAACTTGCACAATCGGTGGCTGACTAAATACTTTTTTGCCCCACTGTATGGCACTTATAGCAGAATTCAAACATAATGTGTTAAGCATAGGTTACCTTTTCGTGACACTGAAACTTCAGGTTAAACGTACCTCTCTAACTTATTAAAAGCAGTTTTTAAAAAAGAAGTCCAGATGTAGAAGCCTATGGGGGGGAAACCTCTCACTTGATTTATTTGAGGTTATGGTCTTAATGGCTAGTTTCAAGTCTTCATAAACGCAACATCATGTTCATTCTGTAAGCTATGGTTCCAGTTAGAGCCAAGGAGGAGGATAAAACAGGCTTTTAGAGCATACGAGCGTGTGGTGTCCCTCAGTTTCTCAGCCAGATCAGTTTCTCGCTTGTTGTCTCTAGTTTCAAAATACCGAGGTGGCAATCGTTAAATGGCTCAGCACCAGGGAACTTCCCTAAACGATTGATGACGTCACAGTGGCTACATGCTGCTTTTCCATGCATTTTATGGTCGCATAAAATGTTTGGGGGAAAGTGGGCTTTAACACTAGGCCTGTTGAAATCGTGACTCAGACGTTATTATTCAGTTTTGTCTCGATTGTTAATTATTCCTCTGAATCCAGCATTTGTCAGGAAGCTTCAACTTCTGTAGCCCCACGCAGAGTTAGCCTGCTATCTCTCATTAGCCTCCTGCAGTGAGAATAGACAAAGACTTGAGAAACCCATTCAGCAATTTTGAATACATTGTATCCGAAGCACCAGTCAAATCATTTTTCCTGTGGGTGTCAGACACGGAGCTATTGACAACTGTGTCGATTTCAAGAACGTCCCAAGGTGGCAATTTTCCTTTGATTAGCTGCTTCGTTAGCAATCATTCCACTGAAGCCAGTTTTAAAAAGGGGTTCACAATATATCTGACACCACTGTTGCAGTGTATCATCAACTTTTAGGAGGATAAAGAAAATTAAGACTCTTGTCAGATTTCAAAGCTAATTATGTGCCGGGCTCGGCCATACTTATAAACCATGTCACATGGCTACAGCAGTTGTCTGCATCTTGAGAGAAAAGCGTTCTTACTCTGCTCTAGTAACTGCCTAGCTTGATGAGTGTGCAGTCTATCTTCATCAAAGACAATTTCTTTTTTTAATAACAGCCAGACATGAATAAATCACCATTAGGCCTTTTTTCCCCCTCTGGAAGATAATAACCAGTTGCTGCTTCAGTTTGACTTGCCAGTGCATGATGGGCGATGAAAATGCTATTGGTTTGGTGGTCTGCATCCACACACACACACTAGCTCACATCCAGACCAATGAGAAAGAAGGCTGCTTTTATTGGTCCAACTGTACTTTAGCACTGAAATGACCGGTGTTTTATTCAGAGTGTCTGCCAGCAGGAAAAGAGGGCTGGGAGGCAGCCAAGAAAAAAGCAAAAAAAAAAAAAGCATGGCATTGTAGGGCAGGAGGTAGAATGTGGATCTAATTGAGCATGTATATGTGTTCTAACTCATACGCACGTTCAGGGTCCGGGCCAGTTCACTTTTGAATTGACCTGATTGAGCGCATAAACAGAACCAGCAGTTAATCTGCCAATGAAAGGTTATTCAGTGCTGTTTTGCAGCCTTAAATGAGAAATTTCCAAGATTAACTCCATTTGTCACCTGAGATTTACCGGTCTCTTTGCACAACCACACAGTTCTACAACACAAGTCCCATCTGTTTTTATTTTTTCCCAACGGACAATCAGGGGGGAAAACCCCCCCACTTTTCTCTTCCTTTCCCATTATTCAACCAAGTAATTTTCCCGAATACTGAATTAAAAGAAAAATATTTACAACTGAACAAACTTTTTTCCTTTTTTGCCTGCAAATCAGCAATGTAGGAGAAGCTCCAGTGCTTCAACTTCAAACAGTCAGGTGGGGGATAACCATAAAGGGAAAGGAGTGTGTTAGCATTAGAAAGCATGGCAAACCTTTGGGTTAAAAGAGCACGTATGCACATAAATACAACTGACTTGCTGGGAGAAATGGAAAGAGGGATAGGGTAAAGGAACACTTCAGAAAAGGGAGTCAAAGACAGGAGAGGAGTTGAGGAAAAAGACAGACAAGGAAAGCGAGCAGGACAAAATTCTCTTTGTAAATTCTCAACTGGGTCTGGATCTGTTTACCACCACAGACCTACAACCTTCCACAAGTTCACCCTGAGCAATCTGCTTAATCTACATTCCCCTTCAAAGTGACTACCAGAAAACAGGCAACCCCACCTCTCAGCAGGGTGGCAGGCCCTTAAAACTAGCCTCGTTCTTTCCCCGTCCTCGGCAGCAAAGCCCTTGATTAGTGTGATGTTTTGTGTGTGTTACTCCTAACAAGTCTTGCGCTGTAATGCATAAAAGCGTGCGAGAGAGTTTGTGTGGCCAATTCCCTAGCAGTAAACAGGCTGGAGGGCAACGGGTCCTCCCTGATGAGGGATTAGACCAGGCTTTTTAATTACAGTTTCACAGTCACAGGAGTAAGAGCTCCACACAGCTCCTCACCACTGCTCTGGAAGCCTCCAGCTACAGCAGCTGACTGTAGCCACAAAGGCGTATATCTGAATCCCCCCGCAAAGATCTTGCAATACAACCCTATCTCTGAACGCCTTAAAATGTAGAAGCAAAAACTGAATTTTCAATCCCAGCATTATTCTGATGATGCTGTTTGGTCAAATCCAATACAACAATGAATTCAGGCTTTTGCAGAATAACGATACCGCCTGAAAAGGTTTCACAGCTCTGAGATCTTCAGCAAGGTAGCAAATGATTTTGTCCTGGTTTACATGTTAAACAAACACCAAATTTACTTTGATTTCAAGAAACCTAAAACAATTTCACTGATATTAAAATTCCCCAACCTTATAATTTAAAGCGTACAGTTTCAGGAAAATGTTTGTGAACACTTCACTGTGTTTCTTTATAAATATCACCTAAAACGTCATTAGATTTTCACAAAAGTCCTAAAATTAGATATAGATAAAAACTAGACTTGGACATTTATTTATTAAGGAAAATGGACTGCATTAGTCAAAACTCTTTAGAGAGAACGCATAATGAGTTGCTGTTTTTGTGCAGGACCCACAAATCTGATGTGTTTGTGCCATTATTTGCTTTCTCAGACGTTATTGTGAAGGTCCGACTTTGATTGATCCTTTTTCCAAACTCACTGATTCAAAGAGTCTGATTCTAATGTCGCCTCCATATTTACTGCTAAGGCCACAGACTGTCAAGCTTTTGCTTGCAGCTGTATATCAAAGTTATAAATTATAGACTTTCTTATAATTTATGATTCCACCAAGGAATACTGAGACACTACATAAAACAAAGACAGAGAAAAACTATGCAAAAGAGAGTATTGCTAGGGACAGATCAACCGAGGTGGAAGCAGCAAGCAGTGGCTTAAGTGAGAGGTCGCTTTTAGCTTGTGATGATGCAGAGTTGTGTTGCACGCTGCTGCTATAGCCTGTATGGGCACACAAATAATGGTGGCGTGATGGGAAAAGCTATACTGGTACAAAAGTCAACTCACCTTCACGTTAGCTGATATACCCTTACAGAAAAACAAAAGAACACAGTAAAGGACGAATCAACAAAGGAGCTTTTGAGGAGCACAAAACTGATAGAACATCAGGGGAATTTGCTCATAATAATAATAATAACAATAACAAATAAAAGAAAGAAAATGAAGAAAATAAAGCCATGAGAAGGAGATGAAACCACTTTGGGCTGTAGGATTATGGGATTTATAGTTCTTAAGAATGGAAGTCTGGGAGTGGAGATACGGTACCAAGCAGTAATCCATAAGCATAATTTGAGCAATACTGAAATGGATCAAAGGGACTTTGGGGAGTTTTGCTACTATGAGGTTATTGGGATCAATGTGCCAAAACAATGCCGCTGCTTTGAAGAGTCCTACTCGTGTGATAGTACGCAGAAAAAGTATGGCTTACCAGTGTTATGCACAGGTCATAGCTTTATTTTAAAAAACATTTTAAAGTTTCAAATTTTAACTGGATCACTCCTTTAAGTTAATATATCTGTGGGGGACAAAAATGATTTGATCCCCTGCTGAATTTATAAGTTTGGTCACTTGCAAAGAAATGAACAGAAATTTGCTCCATTTAAATGCTAGAAATGCACCAGTTCAACAGCGTATCAAATAATTTGCCCCCCTGTATAACTGACCTTTCTATTTAATCATGTCGTCACTAGTTTTTTTTTTTTTTAGGATCAGCATCAGCCACTGCCTATGCACTGTGACCATGCTGTGTGTGCAGCTTTACGTCTTACCTTGGTTTCTGTGCGCCGTGTGGTTCCATCATCAGAGGTGACCACTGAGACGTGGGAGGTGGGGGTGCCGGGGTCTTCTTCAATGGTGACCGTCTCCTCCACCACCTCCTGCGGCTCTTGCATCATGGCCAGGGATGTGGCGTTACTGGGGCTCTGCTCCTGTGCAGAGAGAAGTAAAAAAGAGAATCTGAGAAAAACTGAACTGAAATAACCGACAGATTTTAAAAAAAAAATTAAATAAAAAAAGCTGTTAAGATAGAGTGGAGAAAAACAGAACAGCATCCAGGTAATCATCCATTAGACATACGACAAGATGAAACTTTAATTGGGCCACAGCAGCAACAAATGACATTAGAATCCAGCAGAGAGAAGCAGAGCATAAATAAGAACATTGCAAATGAAGTGTATTAAATATAATGCCACCTGCAATTTGCAATGCAACACTTGAACATCAAGTAGATGGAAAGTGTGAAGCGCATGGCGTGAATAATAATGTGTAGGAAATAACCGCTTTAAAATACACGGATATGAATAATAAGTGTTTACGATTTCCAAACACGATGCGGTATGAAAAAAAGGGCTGCAGAAAATATTCATGAAAATAACTGAAATATGAAAATGTAACTGTATTGTATGGATATAATTAAAAATAACATACTGCCGTTTTCACAACGACAGTGACTCAGTGTGTCAAACGTATTCAGTCTGTCCCTGCTTGTGTATAGGTCATGGAAATATACATACACTGTCAAAGATTTAAAAAAGCAGTTTAAAAACACAAATGCACAACTGGTTCACTCAAAAAAGGACGTAGCTGAATTTGAAATGTTCACGTTATTGTCACTGTAACAGCAGCAGATTTAGGATAGGGAACATCAGACATGCACTGATTCAGTAATTGAATTGGATAGTGGTTGGACAGTGACTCAGAAAGCTAGACTGGACATCGATGACAATAGGCCAATCGATTGGATTCGGTCTTGCTCTGTGTTTACTATACCACGTGTCAGCAGCAGCGCAGTGATTGTTAGAACAAAACCTAACATAGCACGGAGGAAGATAACAACAACTTGTCAGCAGATTGGAGGTATTCCACACGTCTTGCTTGTGGCAGGTAAGTTTGTGACTTAAACTGTGGCCAGGTGTCTTCATTTGACTGAAAAACTGTTGACAACTCTTTCCCTCTCTCCCAACTCTCTCTGTCACAGTGCTCTGCAAAAGCCTTGAGCCATTCCTTGGTTCTTTATATTTTGCTAGGAAAATGGATGAAACAATTTCTTCAAATGTGGAAAACTTAAATTGAAATACAGTAAAAAAGAAAAAGAAAAAGAAAAAGCAGAGTTAATACAGTTCTAACAGGTTTAAAATCAATATTTGGAGTGACCAGCTTTGCTCTTCAACATAGATTGAACTCTTTTAGACACGCTTTCTTATCATTTCTTTAAGTAGTCTTCAGGAATATTTCTCTAGGCTTCTTGTTTCTACCTTGAGCTCTGATCCCGGTCAAGATAATCTCACACTGCTTCATCAATGCTGAGGTCTGGGCTCTGAGGAGGCCAATGACGATTTAAAATCTGATGGTACTTTTCTACATTCATATTTCCATCACTTCTGACAGGATCCCCACAGCCACTCACAGAACTACAGCATGAAACCACGACAGAGCCTCTACCATGTTTTATTAATGGCTAAAGACACCACTGTTAAACCTCTCTCCTGATCTCCCCAATTCATAGTGACATTGATTTGAATCAGAAATTTCAAATTTGGATTTAACACTACAAAATACCTGATGCCACTAATTTTCAGTCTAGTTATTATATAATTTGATGTACCTCGGTCTTTACTTCCTGTTTCCCTTTAACTGAGTTTCAGATGAGGCTTCAGTGAACAGTAGATGGATCAGATGAAAAGGAGCTTTGCAAGGCATCATTACATCATTCATTGACAATAAAAGGGTTTAACAACAAGCAAATACATATCTACTTCAGGTTTTCTGTCAAAATACCTTATTCCACATATTAACTACAATATAGCTTTCCCATTACCTCCTGTATTTACTGAACTGATCCATTCTACACTCAGAAAAAGTGAATTCTCCATTTTATATATTTCCTGTACTTTTTCTTTCCATTCTGTCTGTACTGGGAGTTCTTTCATTAGCCATTTCCTGGTAACTGCTTTCTTACCAGCTCCCTGGGTAATTACTTCTACAATTTCACTCCAATATGGTTGAATAGCTGGGCAACCCCAGAAGATGTGAAAGTGATCAGCTACCAGTTCTCCACACTGTCTCCAACAACGACCTTCTGCTTTCATTTTAGTTTCTGAGTAGTAAGAAAAATCGAATCATATTTTTCCAATGCAAATTCCCTCCCGTGACCTGAACTAGATCTATTCAGTTGTGTAATCTTAGATTTGTACGTATCAGTTATTAGGATGATTAGGCCAGTATTACTTTCATCCCTAGGTTCCATGTTACTGTTAAAATAGGATCTAACCCCCAATATCGGAAGTAGTCTTGCCTTTCCAATCATGTTTGCCCTTAAGTCTTTCAAAACTGTGCATTTCCCCTGCATCTGATGTCCAAAGACCTCTGGCTGACCATCGTTTAAAGCGATTATCTTGCTGGGCTGGAGCAAATTCTTTATCATATGCTACCCACCGTAGCTGTTTCATCGGATTTCCTAATTTTAGTTATTCATATAACCAAACCAGATATTTAGGGGTGTTCTTGTCCCACAGTTTTCTTTCAGTTATAAATGTGATTTTCTGTCTCCGATTATTGTTTGAAATGGTAAATCTATTTGAGTCATGTCCACCTTACTATTTTGCTTTGTAGGAAGGGTTGCACCAGTAGATTAAATATCTCAATTCTGCAGCTTTAAAATGACTTTGCAGGAAGCTGTAGTGTTGTGCATCTCACTCTGGGCTTCCATATGAATCCTGAGAGCATTCTGCTCCACATATTAAATAGTTTCATTGGTGTTTCAACCAGGACTGACCGAGTTGTTTATGTCAACTCTACTACCACTTGACTTGCATAACAAATTCCATCTATGTATACCTTCCTTATAATCAGTAAATCATTTATATCATAGATCTCAGATAATGTTTTGGGAACCTTATAACCCTTCTTCACTGTACATGTCTTCAGATTCATTCTTTTAGTTGTATTAGTAGAGTCAAGAGAGGGCTGCAGCAGTCTCTGCCATACATAAGGGTACCTCTGGTCTCTTCAGTAATCATGTTAAATATTTTCTTAATTAGCATTTGGTCATTACCTAGTGGTCTGTAAACATGGCTTATGGTCAATGAGTCCAGTTACTAGGATATATAGCCCCTCTTTGTCTAATTAGTTGAAAGGTTTTTTTTATTAGAGATTAATATTGCGACACCTCTTGCATGTCCTGGTTTGTATGATGAGTAATATGTATGTCTAAAAACCAGTTGTTTAACTGTTTAATGTTCCATATTATTTATACGCATCCCTTACCAGAATATTATGACTTCATTTTCCATTTTCATCTTGGTTGCAATTCTTTTCCTTTTGATTGGGCTTTGCAGGGCTTTAACATTTAATTGTACTATATTATATTCCTGGAATTATGTCATATTCCCCTAAGCAAACATGTATAGTATAAACTCCAAAAGTGAAGTTCTGAACAGGGAAGGGAATCCTCCAAATGAAGGGCCCCTCCTGGGAGCACAGAGATCCTCTCTGGTTCTGCGTGTGTGCTTCCCTACTCTCAAGTTGCGCCATATTATACTTAGATTAAACCACATTTATTATCAAAATGTCTTCCCAAGTGTGACCTAGTGATTTGGAGAGCGGCATTTCTGATTCTAAATTGTCCTGATAAACAGTTACTTGTGTCTCTACTCCGTAACTTTTCCATAAGTTGTTTACTCACGAATGGCCCTTAATTTTTGGCCTTTAATCCTCCTTTGTTGTTCCTCTGTTATATGTAATGGGGCTGTCAACATAGACCCGAAACCTTGCTGGGGCTCGTGTCTTGCACAGTTTACGCAGCGGAGCATATTCCCTTCTTTTTTGGATAACTTTGGGTAGCCATGGTCAAAAGAAAAATCTTGCAGCAGTCTTGTATCCCCAGGTCGATGTCTGAGAGCAAAAGTTTGGTCTTAATAAAGTTCTTCAAGGACTCAGTTGGGTTTCCACGTTATTGTCCTAACATAAGTTGTTTCTTCAGGACTGCGTCCCAAAGTCAGTTAACAGCGAACACCATTGTGGCATGTGCGTTATCTTTACTTCTTTCTCCATTTCTTTCCTTTTCTGCGGTCTTTACTATCTTTGCTCTTTATTTTCCCATAGGTCTTTAAATAAACGTGATGTTCTAGACAGGAAAAAAGGGGAAACGATAGACCTTTGCTGAGAGTTCACATAATATGCTGCTGTTCATTTTGCTGCCACTTCCCTTTAGTCCTGTACACCATGCTGAGAAATAACAGCTCTTTGGGAATCACCTTGTTGGTACAAAAATATAATTTTATTCCTGTCTAACTGTGTTATCTTTGGCATTTTCGTAGATTCAACTATGATCAAATGATCTGTTTTTGCAACAGGCTGCTAGTAACAAAGTGCTTAAAGACACAATTTGGTGTTCTTTGCCAAGTTGTCTATTATGCGTAGACACAATACTGAGTCATCGCTTGAGTTAGGCAGAATGATGATGCTTGAATGATTCACTGATCAGTGTTAATTGATCCTCTGAAAACGGTCAGGAACAAGAACAAGACTGAAAATTAGTGAAAAAAGCAGCCAAAGGAAAACGTTAAAAACCTTCAGAAAGCCTGAGGAAATATTGGTCAAGACCACTCTGAAAACTTTAATAAAAGTCTGGCTCCATGGAGCAGAATATAAAAAAAGACAGGCAGCTCAAAAACCATATGCTTATGATACCATGCACCAGCTATAGTGCACTGGTTGTAAGAACAAGAGTTAACAAAGCGTGGAGGTTTAATAACTTAGCATTGATATTAGGATAACAACACTGCAATGCAGGATAGGCAACAAGCTCCTCACCTCTTGATACTTAAAGTTAAAGCTTCTTTCAAGGCAAGAAAAATCAGAAGGACCATTTTTATTCATATTTCATTGAAAGGCCGTGGATTTCAAAAAGAAAAAAAAACATGTCTAT